AACGGTCTGGGACCCCAAATTTGTTTTTTTGAATTTTTCGAATTTGGGGTCCAACCGGACCCTCCAATCCGGACACCGGACCCGAACACCGGACACCGGACACCGGACACCGGACTGTCTGGATCGGGATCCGGACGCCCAGTTGGTAACCATGCTTAAGCCTATACAAGGGAACCTCGCAAGCATAGCTACAACTCACAATCTAGGGAATGTATGTTGCCCCCCCAACCTAATCGCGAGTGGTCTGGGGTTGGGGCGGGTCCCCGCTGGGACGGGCAGGGGGTGGGCTAAACCGAAGACCAAACATTGTGGCAGTAGTTGCATCTCCCTTTTCATCTTCCCTCACCCACATCGAGTAACATCAGTGTCTAAGGCCAACACTGTCCCATACACCACAGACAACCCACACACAACATGCACACAGGCTCTGTGATGGCTAAAGAACCTACCAATACCCATCATGGCCCTTGTAAGAAGAAAAAAAAAAGACTTATCTTGAAATGTTGCTTGCCAGGGGCACGTGTCCAATCCACTTGTCACCGTCTACGTTTCTATTATTATTTCCCTACCCGTTGTCCTTCCTACCCATTTTCCTTCGGTAATATGAGAGGGCTAGCATCGTAGTGGCCCAAGTCCCAGTATTGGGGGTTCAGACTACTATCGTCACCGGAATGAAAAAGACTGTGATTATCGTTGTATCTAGACTGAAAGTTGCCCCAAATACAGCGGTAATGACTGTACATTCTATTTGGGGAAAGACAATATTTCGCTTAACTGTTTTGGTGTCTTTTTTTATGTAGCGCACATGCGTCCTTGTACGCCGCATTCTTGCATGCAATCTTTTCGCACTTCCCTAACCCCTTTCTCCGCGCTATCATCGACAAGCCGTAACTGTCTTTTTCGCCATCCGTTCGCACTTTTTCTTTCTTCTTGCTTCCGTTGAATCCTGGTCTTGCTCTATACTGCTTCTCGTAACCTCCTTTCTTGCCTTCGTCTACACGTAGGAAGGCCCTGCTCCTCCCCCGAGTAATCGTAGAAGTCATACGACAGCTTGTAAGAAGGCTCTGAACTCCTCATACCGCAATCCGATTGGCTACGAAGTACTCCACGCGGATCAATATTGCCCTCCCAAGCGGCTTTCCCCCTCTCTTCTCTCCCTCTTTCATTCCTCATCATTCTCTTTCCCTCCTCTTCGCAACTATAAATATGGCAAGTGCAACGTTTGTAATACATCAACCAACTCGGTTGCAGTAGTGGTTAGATGAGGTGGTGATCAGCAAGTCGAAAAGTCTTGACGAGTTGGTTGCAACTTCGTGGGATTGTGCCCTGGATTGTTGCGATGGATTGCAGTATCTGGGTGAATCTGCATAGTAGTTGAGTGTATGGGTAACGATCGTTGGGGCTTAGGGTGTATATGTATAGGTTGTCTACATTCTGTCTTGCTGGAAGAAACGCCTTTCTCGTGCATTCGTGCGCCGGGACATGGCGGGCGAGCTCTGCGGTTGAAACCCTAGTCGTGCCTAACACTAGCTCTGCCGCTGAAACCCTATAGGTAGTCGTGACTAACAATACCTTCTTAACATGAAAAAAACGTATGTACGTTCTATTCGAATTACCTATGGAAATCGGGATTTCAAAAATCGCTTGTTTTTTTCCGAATAAATTTAACGTTTGAATATAACGTACATACGATGTATTCGAATATGACGTACGCATTGTTGTATTTGAATTTTTGCAATTTTGATTTTTCAAAACTAATCAAAAAAATCTGAAAAAAAGAAAAGTTGTACAACAATGCAGTATAAAGTACTGCAAACAACTTTTGCCCAAGGGTCCTATCGAAATTCACTACCAAATTCGAGAAAAAAAAACGAGGATAGAAATATTTTTTACAGCAGGAGCACTTTGTTTACTGATTTTTTCAGAATTTTGATTTTTTTTTAAAAATCATAAAAAAAACAAACAAGAAGTATGTTGTACAAAATTGCAATGCAAACAACTTTTGCCTGACGGTCTTCGCAACAATTTTTTTTTTTTTTTTTAATCTCTTTTGTTTTTGTCCGTTTCTTTCGTTTTTTGCTATTTGGGTTTCCAAATACGTGGGTAGTATACGTGGTGGGATTTGAAGATGAGAAGAAGGGGTTGCTTTGTTGACATAGTTGTGGCTCTCGCTCTGCTTGGCCGGAGAGCCTTGCTCAGCCTGTGTGCTGCTGCGAACTTTGTGAGGGATGCTGGCCCCGATTCCCGGCTTGTTATAAATGATTACTTCTTTCCAATAAAAAAACAAATTCCCAACCAAACTTGAAAAAAAAGAAAAGAAACATGGTTGTACTAGACTTCTGAAAAGTTGTACCCTCTAAACTTTTTATATAACATACGTACATTGTAATACAATATACCCCGTACGTTGACTCGAAAAGAAAATAAAAAAAAACAATGGTGGTGCTACAGACTTGTAAAAAGTTGTACCCTTAAACTCGTAATAAAGCATACATACATTGTATTCGAATAGAACACACCCCGTACGTTGTATTCGTATATGAGCTACGCACGTTTTTTTCGGGTTAAGGCAGTAGCACTGCGAGCGGGAGGGTGCTTACCCTTGAACTTGTAATAAAGCATACATACATTTTATTCGAATAGAACACACCCCGTACGTTGTATTCGTATATGAGGTACGTACGTTTTTTTCGGGTTAAGGCGGTAGCATTGCGAGCGGGAGGGCGCTTCGGCGCCTCTGTGGCACACCACACCTCTCCAGTCACTCCAACTTTTTTTAGGGACAGGTTACGAGTTAGCTTCTCTTGAAGAGCGGGAAAGATTCTCGCACCGGCGATCACTCCTGAGCTGCCACAGTAGAAACCGTTTCAAAAACCTCCCACCAGCGCCGCAACGACCTGCTCGTACGAAAAGAAGTGGGATCCCCCGAAACTCATGTTTCTACTTGGTGGGAGTAGTGTAGGATCAAGCGATAAATCCCCCTAGAACCAATGGCCATACCGGTAGCTCAGTTGGTACATCCACGAACTGTTGAAATACAGACCCAATTTCGAATCCAGATACAATCAGATGACCAGAATAAAATCATTCTGATTCCTGAACTACCTTAGGGCGGTTAGTTCAATGATGATATCTCAAGGCCGCCGGCCTTGTAAAAATATTGTATAAACCCCGCTAGAACCAACGGGCCTAAGACTCTGATCCGACATTCTTTCGTTAAGGTACTTCTTGGAAAATTTTGACATTCCACACGGTACTGCGGGTCTCAGCTGAAAAAAACAAAAAACAAAACGGTTGTTTCTTCTCTCGAACGGTTGAGGGTCGCCACGGCCGTGACTGTAGGCGTACGATTCTGGAAAAGTCATGAACCCCCTACCCGTGTCCCAGAAAGTCAGCGTCACCTCGATTCCCTTTTTTTTTTTTCCCTTGTCCGCCTTCCCTCCTTGGTACGTCCATCCGCAGGCACCGTTGGCCTCGCCCATCCGCAGCTACTGTTGGTATGCAGTCCCTTTCGCCGTCGATTCTGCAAAAGTCCCTGCGCCGTCGGTCCCATGGAGGCAGAATTTTCTTTTCACGTGCAGAATGCTGCGGACACATCTTTCGTGGTACTTTTCCTATTTTTTGGTGAAAGTGCCCTGTCGGGTCAGCCCCTAACTGACCACTGCCGCGCTGATCAGGGCGGGGGCCAACATGCAATCTCTTATTTGTGAAAGGTAGTTGTCTTTGTATAGGCTTATGGACGGGCGGGGGCCAACATGCAATCTCTTATTTNTCTCTTATTTGTGAAAGGTAGTTGTCTTTGTATAGGCTTATGGACGGGCGGGGGCCAACATGCAATCTCTTATTTGTGAAAGGTAGTTGTCTTTGCATAGGCTTAGGGCCTCGTCAAACACTCCTTGTGGACCCAAAATCCACAAGGAAGTGCTCGTTCCACCTGTCCTCGGGGCCGATTCGCGAAAAAAAAAGTGAAAGCAGCACAAAGAAATTTCCTTGTGGCGTCCATGTGGCTACAACCAATTTTTCCTAATCCCCAAGGGACCTCCTGAGGTCCCTCGAAGCACAAGGAAGTGCGAAATTCGGAGCGGTGAAGGCATGCGTCGACGCACAGTTTCGGTTTGAGGGTGGTCCAGACGTGGTCCACCGAACGGGAGCAAGGACATCCCTGCCCTCCACCGTCTGGGCGGCGCCCCAACGGCTCCAAACGGTCATCGTCCGCGTGAGGCGTCCGTCTGACGAATCGGCCGTCGCCGACCGGTGTCATGCGGTCTGGCGCGCTGGGAGATCGTCGACAACGGTCGGAAATTCGAATGCTTTTCCGCGTCGGCGCTGTGTTCGACGACGGCGTGTGGATTTAGGAAGATAGTCGTTTTTGTCGGTTGTCGTCACGCCTTGCACGTCGGAGCACAGATCTTCCCTCGCTTTTTCTTCTGTCGACGGAGTTCTTCGCTGGACGGTCGACCACTGACGTGGAGCTGCTGCCCTTTCCACGGCCCTTACATGGCCGACCCGCTGCACAGGCTGCCTCTGCTGCTCCTCGTCGTCGTGCTGCTTCTCATCGTTGTCTTCTTCCATGTGTGAACAGCCTCTGCAACCCAACGCGTAGCACAACTGAACAACAGCCTCCGTAAGTAGTGGTAGGTAGATAGTAGTGAAACGTGAAATTGAGAGAAGAATATAGCTCAAAGCACCAGTACTCCGCCCAGGTATCGAAGCCAAGCCTGAAAAAGGGCTGTGTGCCGTTTCGCGCCGACCCTTCAGCGCAACAAGAAAATTGTTTTGGCTGGCGGCGCCAGCCTTTGAGGGCCGGTACCCTGAGCCTCCGGAAGTTGCCGGGCGTTAACGGCCGATGTATGGGCCAAGTACTGGTGGTGTAATTGAAACAAAAAAAAAGGGGGGCCTAAGTCAGTTGGTACACCCATGAGCTGTTGAAATGCAGACCCCAGTTCCAAACCCCCTGGAAGAAGTTCAATCAAATAAAATGATGCTGAATTACCTGGGGCCAGTCAATTGCACGTTGATTTTTTTTGGGTTTTTAATTGCACGTTTTTTTCTGTTTTTTTTTTGAAATTGCACGTTGATATGTGAAGGCCGTCGCTCTTTTTCCTTTTTTTGGGAAAAAAAAAGAAACTGCTAGTGGGACTCCGTTCCGGTATTACCTTGCCCCCTGCCAGAATGTTCCTGACAGTTGGGCCAGGTGCAGACCAGCCCCCCTGGCCATGCAATGGTCCAGGTACATCCTGTTGCGGAGCAATCTTCAAACGCACAAAATGGCAACAACAACAAAAAAAGGAGAAAACAGGTTCACTCCTGGATGACAATCTCGACCAGGTTCATCCGAATTGCGGGAACACAACTGCATACCATGGCCAGCTGGCGGTGACTGCTTGGGTTGACGTCAACGTCCAAGCCGCCCGCTAACGACAATACTGCAAAATGCAAATCCCCGCTGCTGACGTGGAAATTGTCTCAGCTGGGCAAAAACTGCAGACGCGTGGGCATAGCTGCTGATCAGATCACAATCTCGACCAGGTTCATTGCGTAAAATGCAAATACCCCGCTGCTGACGTGGCAATTGTCCCAGCTGGACATCGCTGCAGACACGTGTTCATAGCTGCTGATCACAATCTCGACCAGGTTCATTCCATCAAATGCAAATCCCCGGTGCTGACGTGGAAATTGTCCCAGCTGGACATCGCTGCAGACACGTGGGCATAGCTGCTGATCACAATCTCGACCAGTTTCATCCGAATTGCGGGAACACACCTGGCTACAGCGGAAGCTCCTGACACGTGTCACATCGCTGCTGACGTGGAAATTGCTTACGCCGGCGATGATATTCCCCGTCGTTATCCTCTTCTTTCGGTTTGCTGTTGCTCTCCGTGGCATGAACATGGACCACGTCTCGCACCAGATTCGTGCTGAACATTGATCTTGTGCGATCCCATCGTGCTTGTCGTTTCTTTGTCGTCCTTCTTCGCCTCCTCCTCTGCATCCTCGTGCTTTTCTCTCTACTTCTCCTCTTCCTGTCCTCCTCCTCCTCCTCCTCCTCGTCTTCCTGCTCCTCCTCCTCCTTCTCCTCCTCCTCCTTGTACTACTACTACTACCACCACACCACACTAAAGTACTGCTCCTCCTCCCACTACTAGAACTACCACCTCCACCGCACACTCTGCCGCATTCCACGTGTCTTCTCCTCCGCCCTTGACGTCCTCATCATCATCATCTTCATCGTGCTTGTCCTCTCTCTCTCTCTCTCTCTCTCTCTCTCTCTCTCTCTCTCTCTCTCTCTCTCTCTCTCTCTCTCCCTGCACGGCGCCTGTTCTTTCCCCTACTGCATCGCTGCCGTGCCGGCTGCTTTCCCCCCTCTCCTCCCCTTTGCTGCCACCTCCTTCGTCTGCCTCTTTTCTCCCTCCCTCGGCCTGTCTACCTCCCTGCGCTCCTCTTTCTCCATCGCCTGTTCCTCTCTGCTCCTCAAACTGCCGTCACTCCCTCCTCCGGCTCGTCTCCCTCCTCTCCCTCCTCTCCCTACTCCCCCTCCTCCTCCCCCTCCTCCTCCTCCTCCGCCTCGGCCAACTCTCACTCCTCCCGCTGGTCTACCTTCTATTCACTCCACCTACTCTCATTCCCTCTCTCTCCCATCCCTTCTCTTCCACCCCGTTCTCCTCTTCCTCCTCCCTCCTCCTCCCTTCTCTCCCCTCCTCCTTTTCTCTCCTCTCTCCTCCTCCTTTTCCCTTCCCCCCCCCTCCTCCTGCTTTTCCCTTCTCCTCTCTACTCCTCCTCGTCCTCCCTCCTCCCTCCTCCCTTCTCCCTCCTCACTTCTCCCTTCTCCCTTCTCCCTCCTTCCTCCTTCCTCCTTCCTCCTTCCTCCTTCCTCCTTCCGCCTCCCTCCCTCCCCCATCCTCTTCGATGTTAGGGAATAGCAAGGGGTTCCATGCGTTGTTGACTTTTCTTCTTGGCGGGCTATCGGGAATGACTACCAGCGCGATTCTCCAACCGTTGGATGTGGTGAAGACACACATGCAGGCCGGAGAGGGAGAGAGAAGAGCTGGCGCAGGATTGGGGGCAGGGACTTCCAACAGGTGTGAGAGGATTGATTGACTTGACTCATCGTCCATTGTGTTTTTTTTTTTTTTTTTTTTTTTTTTTTTCAATTAGTAATGAAGAAATGGACCCGTCGTGGTTGTTGTGTCCGCGGCGATGTGTAACAGTCCTCAACGATCCCGGTGTGAATGAACCTTGTCGGACACGACGACCAAGCTCATCGTTTCAATTGCGGTCCTGTTCCTCATGCAAATGCCGCCGGGTCCGGTTCCCGATTTGTATGTAAAACACAAAGCTAAGCCGGGAGACTCTCTTTCGCATGTCTTTTTTTTTTTTTTTTTTTAAATAGTATCTCTTTCATATGTCGTTTACACGTCTATTTCTTGTTCGTTTACCCATATGCAAGGAATATGAGAGTGAGCGATATACATAAAACCAAGTTACGAAATCACACAGCTGAGGAAGTAGTAGTATCCCAAGTAGAGAGTACAAATGCACCGAGAAAACCATCCATAAAGAGCAATACAATGAAGTATTGAGCCAATGTCCAGGCCCGTAGGCCACACCAACACAGTATCCAGAGTCGCTCTCTTTGTCTGGCGCACAGCGCCCAGCCTACTCTACCACACTATCCTACTCTACAGCTGGTTCACACAACAGGATCACTTCGGCTCACGAAGACCAATGTACATGACTGTCCACACCATCGGCGACCTCTCTTCATGTACCAGGTACGTATCTCGTCACCCTCAATCAGACCTTGATTATCCCACACAGCGCCTCACTCCCTGAAGACCACCTGATCATCCGCTGTACCCCCTGGCGCCTAGCAGCCCGGCTATGGCTGCCAGCGCCCCGCTGCCCTGCAGCGCCCCACCTCACCACTCGTGCTCCCCGTCAGCGCCCTTGGCAGCAGCGCAGCATCAAGCGAGAGAGCAGCAGCAGCTGGCCAGAATGTCTGGCCTGGGCTGCCTCACTTCCTTTATGGAAGTGGCAGCCTGCTGGATGCTGCGTGTGGCCTGGCTGGAAGCTTCCAGTAGCTTCTGGTTGGACCTCAGACCCTGTGCCCAGGCCGAGACTTACAGTTGAGGGCCTGGGCCCCTTTACAGTTGGGCGCGGCCTGAGTCTCCGGACTTGGGCTGTTAGCTGCATCTGCGCAGGGCCCCCAGGTAGATGCGTCGGCTGTACTGCATTTCCAAAGGCGGACGGCCTGCTTCTCAATGTATCGGCCCTGCTTTGTGTGTAGGTGCCCAGGCACAACTTTCGTGGCCTGGGCCAACTGTACGAGCTTAGTGAGGCTGGCGCGTTCACTCAACCAACTGACGCGCTGCCAGAGCCTGAATACCCACATATGGAAATGTCAAATTTGGCCTGTGACGAATATTCAGGCCCGCCTTCACTTAGGGCGGGCACTTGGCTTGCTGGGGTCTTAGCCCAGAACAATATGATGTCTGATAGGGCCACTTGAGGGCTCGTTCCTCACACATATATATAGTCAGTGAAACTCCGACGGAACAGTTTGTCACAGCCCCTCGTTTGTTGTCCTCTTCTTTCTCTGCCTACAGTTTACCGGGCAGTTCTGTTTGTGACGAGGTTAAGGTAGATTATCATTTACAGTGTAATCAGTGAGGGGATTCTGCAGACTGTTGAGGGTTCAGCCTCCTGATGAGTCGGTGAAACTCCGACGAAACAGTTTGTCACAGCCCCTCGTTTGTTGTCCTCTTCTCTCTGTCTGCCTACAGTTTACCGGGCAGTTCTGTTTGTGATGATATATACCAAAATACTAATTTATCTGAAAAGTGACTTTCTTTTATAGTTTGCTGTGACGCTCCCAACTGTAGACGTAGCGTGTTTTTTTTTTTTTTTTTTTTTTGGCCAAACATGCTCCGTCTACAGTTGGGAGCGTCACAGCAAACTATAAATCGTACAGGATAGCCATCGTTAAACAGAGCTCAACCATCAATCATCACCCTCATCATCATCCTCCATAGCCATCGTCTTCATGTGGTCCACAGCCAACCATCACCCTCATCATCATCCTCCATAGCCATCAGCCATAGCCATCGTCTTCATGTGATTGGCCGCCTCAACAGGGCCCATTCTAATCTACCTTTTTTATGACTTCCATCCCTTTAGCCACCGCCATGTGTCCCCATCCTCCTCCTCCTCCTCCTCCTCCTCCTCCTCCTCATCATCATCATCATCATGTTCGAATATTTTTTATGACTGTCATCCCTTTAATGCGCAGGGGCAATTCTAATCTATCTTTTTTTTTTTTTTTTTTTAAATTGAAAACACTCATGTGGATGAGTGGAAGGCTACATACCATTTACTAAGGTCGTACTACACACCCATCCATGAGCGGTTGGTAAGCAGACCTGAGTTGGGATCCCGACGGGATCTGATGAACGAAAAAGAGATGAATGAAAAAAGGATCTAGCTCTTTGATTACCTGGTGCCGGCGTGTTCCATGATGATACCACATGGCCGTCGCATTTTTTTGAAAGTAATAAAAAAATATATTTTTTATTAATTTGACAACCTCGCTGAAGTTGGAAGGAGAAATGATGAAGACTGAAGAAAAAAAGAAAATCGGACATTTTTCAACAGTCCGTGGATGTACGGACGTGGATGTACGAACAGTCCGTGGATGTACCAACGGAGCTAGGCCCCCTGTCAGCAACATTAACAATATGTTTTTTTTTTTTTTTTTTTTTTTTTAACAATATGAAATTCAGGGATGGCGGAGAAGCAATACCAAACACTTAAAATGTAATGACGATATATATATATATAGAGGGTTCAGCCTCCTGATGAGTCGGTGAAACTCCGACGAAACAGTTTGTCACAGCCCCTCGTTTGTTGTCCTCTTCTCTCTCTCTGCCTACGGTTTACCGGGCAGTTCTGTTTGTGATGATATATATATATGAGTCGGTGAAACTCCGACGAAACAGTTTGTCACAGCCCCTCGTTTGTTGTCCTCTTCTCTCTCTCTGCCTACAGTTTACCTGTTTGTGACGATATATATATATACAGAGTTGCCAGGCAGAACGTACGGA